AAAAACCCAGGGGTGTTCAAACTTGACAGCTTTAAGACTTGTGGACTTCAACTCCCAGAATTCCTCCTCTCACTCTTCATCTTGATGATGTGTGCGGACAGGTGGGGGGAGGGAGCTGGAACCAGTTCTAAACGGCATTGTAGATTTGTGGAACCTCTTCAATAGAAGAGGTTAGAACTGGCAAGAACCCACACCTGAACATAAACTGTTATTGTTGATGCATGCTGGTTAATCTAGAAAGCCAATGAACACCAGTAATAAACCAATAGAGATTACCTGTAAACAGATTGCGTCAGTTTACAACCATAATTGATTCTAGCAATTACAGTGATAATTCATCATGGTCACAAAGCTGACAAGAAACCAGCATCAGCCTAAAAAGCTAGTGCAATCCTAAATTGCATTAACAGAGGGATTCAATCAAGATCAAGTGAGATACTAATGCCACTCTATAAAGCCTTAGTAACACCACACCTAGAAGACTGCATCGGTTTTGGTCACATTATTAAAAAGATGTTGAGACTCTAGAAAAAGTGCAGAGAAGACCAACCAGGATGATTAAGAGACTGGAAACTAAAACATACGAAGAACAGTTACAGGAAGTGGGCATGGCAAGTCTAGTAAAGAGAAGGACCAGGAAGGACCATGATAGTTATGATTCAATATTTGAGAGGCTGCCATTGAGAGGAAGGGGTCAAGTTACTTCCCAAGGCACCCGAAGGCCAGACAAGGAATAATGGATGGAAACTGAACCTAGAAATAAGGAGAAATTTTCTGATAGCGAGAACGATCAACCAATGGAACAGAAGTTGCCTTCAGAAGTTGTGGGAGCTTCATCACTGGAAGCTTTCAAGAGACTGGACTGCCATCTGTCAAAAAGGGTGTAGGGTCTGCTTGGGGGGGAGGTTGGACCAGATGACCTACAAAGTCCCTTCCAACTCTGTTAATCCTTTAAATCTGTTATGGTTATAAATCAAGGATCACCTGTATACTCTCTCCTCCTTTATACACTACAACCTTTCCCCCAAATATATATCGAAGGAAACTAGATTGGAACCAGATTGGCGTGGCACGGAGGAAACACCAATAAGCTGCATTATGCCGATAACATAACTCTGATAGCTGAACATGCAAACCATTTGTGAACTCGGGTAACAAGAGTTTAGGAACCAAGAGAAACTAAGATTAAATATAAAGAAGGCCAAACTAGTGACAAAGGCACAGCAACCACTTTTAGAA